TAGGTAGAATGCTTTAGTGCTATCTATAATAGAAATGTGACTAGGTAGAATGCTTTAGTGCTATCTATAATAGAAATGTGACTAGGTAGAATGCTTTAGTGCTATCTATAATAGAAATGTGACTAGGTAGAATGCTTTAGTGCTATCTATAATAGAAATGTGACTAGGTAGAATGCTTTAGTGCTATCTATAATAGAAATGTGACTAGGTAGAATGCTTTAGTGCTATCTATAATAGAAATGTGACTAGGTAGAATGCTTTAGTGCTATCTATAATAGAAATGTGACTAGGTAGAATGCTTTAGTGCTATCTATAATAGAAATGTGACTAGGTAGAATGCTTTAGTGCTATCTATAATAGAAATGTGACTAGGTAGAATGCTTTAGTGCTATCTATAATAGAAATGTGACTAGGTAGAATGCTTTAGTGCTATCTATAATAGAAATGTGACTAGGTAGAATGCTTTAGTGCTATCTATAATAGAAATGTGACTAGGTAGAATGCTTTAGTGCTATCTATGATAGAAATGTGACTAGGTAGAATGCTTTAGTGCTATCTATAATAGAAATGTGACTAGGTAGAATGCTTTAGTGCTATCTATAATAGAAATGTGACTAGGTAGAATGCTTTAGTGCTATCTATAATAGAAATGTGACTAGGTAGAATGCTTTAGTGCTATCTATAATAGAAATGTGACTAGGTAGAATGCTTTAGTGCTATCTATAATAGAAATGTGACTAGGTAGAATGCTTTAGTGCTATCTATAATAGAAATGTGACTAGGTAGAATGCTTTAGTGCTATCTATAATAGAAATGTGACTAGGTAGAATGCTTTAGTGCTATCTATAATAGAAATGTGACTAGGTAGAATGCTTTAGTGCTATCTATAATAGAAATGTGACTAGGTAGAATGCTTTAGTGCTATCTATGATAGAAATGTGACTAGGTAGAATGCTTTAGTGCTATCTATGATAGAAATGTGACTAGGTAGAATGCTTTAGTGCTATCTATAATAGAAATGTGACTAGGTAGAATGCTTTAGTGCTATCTATAATAGAAATGTGACTAGGTAGAATGCTTTAGTGCTATCTATAATAGAAATGTGACTAGGTAGAATGCTTTAGTGCTATCTATAATAGAAATGTGACTAGGTAGAATGCTTTAGTGCTATCTATAATAGAAATGTGACTAGGTAGAATGCTTTAGTGCTATCTATAATAGAAATGTGACTAGGTAGAATGCTTTAGTGCTATCTATAATAGAAATGTGACTAGGTAGAATGCTTTAGTGCTATCTATAATAGAAATGTGACTAGGTAGAATGCTTTAGTGCTATCTATAATAGAAATGTGACTAGGTAGAATGCTTTAGTGCTATCTATAATAGAAATGTGACTAGGTAGAATGCTTTAGTGCTATCTATAATAGAAATGTGACTAGGTAGAATGCTTTAGTGCTATCTATAATAGAAATGTGACTAGGTAGAATGCTTTAGTGCTATCTATAATAGAAATGTGACTAGGTAGAATGCTTTAGTGCTATCTATAATAGAAATGTGACTAGGTAGAATGCTTTAGTGCTATCTATAATAGAAATGTGACTAGGTAGAATGCTTTAGTGCTATCTATAATAGAAATGTGACTAGGTAGAATGCTTTAGTGCTATCTATAATAGAAATGTGACTAGGTAGAATGCTTTAGTGCTATCTATAATAGAAATGTGACTAGGTAGAATGCTTTAGTGCTATCTATAATAGAAATGTGACTAGGTAGAATGCTTTAGTGCTATCTATAATAGAAATGTGACTAGGTAGAATGCTTTAGTGCTATCTATAATAGAAATGTGACTAGGTAGAATGCTTTAGTGCTATCTATAATAGAAATGTGACTAGGTAGAATGCTTTAGTGCTATCTATAATAGAAATGTGACTAGGTAGAATGCTTTAGTGCTATCTATAATAGAAATGTGACTAGGTAGAATGCTTTAGTGCTATCTATAATAGAAATGTGACTAGGTAGAATGCTTTAGTGCTATCTATAATAGAAATGTGACTAGGTAGAATGCTTTAGTGCTATCTATAATAGAAATGTGACTAGGTAGAATGCTTTAGTGCTATCTATAATAGAAATGTGACTAGGTAGAATGCTTTAGTGCTATCTATAATAGAAATGTGACTAGGTAGAATGCTTTAGTGCTATCTATAATAGAAATGTGACTAGGTAGAATGCTTTAGTGCTATCTATAATAGAAATGTGACTAGGTAGAATGCTTTAGTGCTATCTATAATAGAAATGTGACTAGGTAGAATGCTTTAGTGCTATCTATAATAGAAATGTGACTAGGTAGAATGCTTTAGTGCTATCTATAATAGAAATGTGACTAGGTAGAATGCTTTAGTGCTATCTATAATAGAAATGTGACTAGGTAGAATGCTTTAGTGCTATCTATAATAGAAATGTGACTAGGTAGAATGCTTTAGTGCTATCTATAATAGAAATGTGACTAGGTAGAATGCTTTAGTGCTATCTATAATAGAAATGTGACTAGGTAGAATGCTTTAGTGCTATCTATAATAGAAATGTGACTAGGTAGAATGCTTTAGTGCTATCTATAATAGAAATGTGACTAGGTAGAATGCTTTAGTGCTATCTATAATAGAAATGTGACTAGGTAGAATGCTTTAGTGCTATCTATAATAGAAATGTGACTAGGTAGAATGCTTTAGTGCTATCTATAATAGAAATGTGACTAGGTAGAATGCTTTAGTGCTATCTATAATAGAAATGTGACTAGGTAGAATGCTTTAGTGCTATCTATAATAGAAATGTGACTAGGTAGAATGCTTTAGTGCTATCTATAATAGAAATGTGACTAGGTAGAATGCTTTAGTGCTATCTATAATAGAAATGTGACTAGGTAGAATGCTTTAGTGCTATCTATAATAGAAATGTGACTAGGTAGAATGCTTTAGTGCTATCTATAATAGAAATGTGACTAGGTAGAATGCTTTAGTGCTATCTATAATAGAAATGTGACTAGGTAGAATGCTTTAGTGCTATCTATAATAGAAATGTGACTAGGTAGAATGCTTTAGTGCTATCTATAATAGAAATGTGACTAGGTAGAATGCTTTAGTGCTATCTATAATAGAAATGTGACTAGGTAGAATGCTTTAGTGCTATCTATAATAGAAATGTGACTAGGTAGAATGCTTTAGTGCTATCTATAATAGAAATGTGACTAGGTAGAATGCTTTAGTGCTATCTATAATAGAAATGTGACTAGGTAGAATGCTTTAGTGCTATCTATAATAGAAATGTGACTAGGTAGAATGCTTTAGTGCTATCTATAATAGAAATGTGACTAGGTAGAATGCTTTAGTGCTATCTATAATAGAAATGTGACTAGGTAGAATGCTTTAGTGCTATCTATAATAGAAATGTGACTAGGTAGAATGCTTTAGTGCTATCTATAATAGAAATGTGACTAGGTAGAATGCTTTAGTTCTATCTATAATAGAAATGTGACTAGGTAGAATGCTTTAGTGCTATCTATAATAGAAATGTGACTAGGTAGAATGCTTTAGTGCTATCTATAATAGAAATGTGACTAGGTAGAATGCTTTAGTTCTATCTATAATAGAAATGTGACTAGGTAGAATGCTTTAGTTCTATCTATAATAGAAATGTGACTAGGTAGAATGCTTTAGTGCTATCTATAATAGAAATGTGACTAGGTAGAATGCTTTAGTGCTATCTATAATAGAAATGTGACTAGGTAGAATGCTTTAGTGCTATCTATAATAGAAATGTGACTAGGTAGAATGCTTTAGTGCTATCTATAATAGAAATGTGACTAGGTAGAATGCTTTAGTGCTATCTATAATAGAAATGTGACTAGGTAGAATGCTTTAGTGCTATCTATAATAGAAATGTGACTAGGTAGAATGCTTTAGTTCTATCTATAATAGAAATGTGACTAGGTAGAATGCTTTAGTGCTATCTATAATAGAAATGTGACTAGGTAGAATGCTTTAGTGCTATCTATAATAGAAATGTGACTAGGTAGAATGCTTTAGTTCTATCTATAATAGAAATGTGACTAGGTAGAATGCTTTAGTGCTATCTATAATAGAAATGTGACTAGGTAGAATGCTTTAGTTCTATCTATAATAGAAATGTGACTAGGTAGAATGCTTTAGTGCTATCTATAATAGAAATGTGACTAGGTAGAATGCTTTAGTGCTATCTATAATAGAAATGTGACTAGGTAGAATGCTTTAGTTCTATCTATAATAGAAATGTGACTAGGTAGACTGCCTATTTTATGTTAATACGAAGCCTCATTCTTTTCAAAATATCTAAAACTGCATTTTATGTAATCATTATTAAAATGTAGATATCTGAAATTACAATTAAAGTTGTTATAAAGTATAAAATAAGTAGTTTACATCTATAATTATATTTCTACTAGCAGAAATATATTTTTGATGTCAAGAATTGAAGGGGCTCTTCTGCCAGGCCAACAAGGCTGGTGGAGGGGGTTACAGGTGAATAGAAGACCTCGTCTATTATCCAGGCCAACAATTCCCTCTAACGACCCCCCTTTCAGAGACATAGACAGGTATGGGGCATTGCAGGCTAACAAAGAAGCCAAACGACCCCCATTCCAAAGGGGGGGACCCGTTCATCCATTTCTATTTGCATGTTTTCTAAACTTGTCTCGTCTTCAAACTTGGAAACAAAGTCCAGTGGATTGTTTTTAATTGTTTTCGAACGCTAAAGCTAAACGCGTTTTAGCATGACATCATCAGGTTATTGGAAGAGCTTATCTCAGTTATTTTAGATTCACTGATATGGATAATCTGCTGCCTACACCCATTCTTCTATTAGTCCTGGTGACGCCTTCACTGAGCAGACATATAAAGCCGGACAGACTGCCCAGTATAACAGATATCCCTCTACTGTGACTGCCTGCAGGACGCCGAGTCGTTTCCACCTACCAGTCTCCTCTGCATGAGGCGGTAGACCTTCTTACGTCGAGCGTGGTCACTTCTGAGGCGCTGAGCAGCGCAGAGAAGAGATGCAATCCACACAGGAAGTCTGAACCAAGAGGACCAAATCAAAACAGCTCAAATCCACTTTATCACAACAGCCATCATTGATATCACTGAAATATTACAGTTTCTGATATTAAATCTGATAATTCCACATTCATTTAGTATTAGAGAAGTTTGTGTTATTCTATTTCTGTGTGAGCAAACCTATTAAATCCTTTAATAACCCATTTTCTACAATACAGACAGACTGGCCTTGTATTGAAAAGACTGTAATATATATAGAACAACTTTATTTGAATTCATTTATTGTCATTCAGAATAGCAGTAAAGACTGATATCACTGCACAACACCATGGTTACCAGTGGAGTACCACAGGGATCAGTGCTAGGACCAATTCTCTTTACTTTATACATGCTCCCAATCGGTAGAATTATTAGACAGCATGGGATTAATTTCCACTGTTATGCTGATGATACCCAGCTATATCTGTCTATAATACAGATGAAGCTAACCCATTACATAGATTACAGGCATGTCTGAAGACATAAAAACCTGGATGACTCTTAACTTTCTGCTTCTGAATGCAGACAAAACAGAAGTTATAGTCTTTGGACCAGAGTCTCTGAAAAAGAAGCTGATTAGTCAGTCACTTCATTTGGATGGGATTAAACTGATTTCAGATAATAAAATAAAAATTTTGGTGTTGTTTTTGATCAGGACCTGTCATTTAAATCCCAGATCAAAGATGTTTCTAGAATTTCCTTCTTTCATCTGAGGAATATTGCTAAAATGAGCAATCTCCTGTCCAGGGGTGATGCTGAGAAACTAGTCCATGCATTTGTTACTTCAAGGCTGGACTATTGTAATTCTTTACTATCAGGAAGTCCACAAACTGTAGTTAAAAGCCTTCAGCTGATCCAAAATGCTGCAGCCAGAGTTCTAATGAAAATGAAAAAGAGAGATCATATCTCGCCTATCCTGGCTTCTCTTCATTGGCTTCCTGTTAAATCCAGAATAGAATTTAAAATCCTCCTTCTCACATATAAAGCCTTAAATGGCCAAGCTCCATCTTATATCAGAGATCTGATTGTTCCTTATGTTCCTAACAGAGCACTTCGCTCTCAATCTGCAGGTTTACTAGTGGTTCCTAGAATTTCTAAAAGTAGAATGGGAGGCAGATCTTTTAGTTCTCAGGCTCCTCTCCTGTGGAACCAACTACCAGTTTTAGTCCGTGAGGCAGACACCCTGTCTACTTTTAAGGCTAGGCTTAAAACTTTCCTTTTTGATAAAGCTTCTAGTTAGAGTGGCTCAGGTTATCCTGATCTATCTCTATAGTTCTGCTGCTATAGGCTTAGACTGCTGGAGGACATAGGGACCCCTTTTTCATCATTCTGCTTCATTCTATCTCTATTCTCCCACTCTGCAGAATCTGTTAGTTCAATCTCTAACGTTCTGCTCTCTCTGCTTTTTCTCATAGTAGCTTCATCTGGTCTGTTCCTGTTTGGCTGTGACTCCATCCTGGAAGGGACCTCTGATCGGTGCCCCAAGCCAACATCTTTGACTTTTCCTTCTGTACATGATACAGATACATCTTATTTTCCTGGTTTAATCTTATCCCTCAACCAGCAAACTAATAGAAATGGTTCAGCTGATTAAAGGTGAAACATCTGGTTTGATTCCATGGCCTTTTAAACAGGCCTAAATACTAAACCCAGGTTAATGCATCTTTTATAACTGTACTAAATCAGGATAATGATCAACTATAGTTGGTTTGTATGTCTCCAGTGGACCAGTGGCCCCATATATAGATAAAGATGGATGGGTGATAACTGCTACCTGTTATTAGCTATTTCATCTTATGCAGGAAATAACATTTGAAAAATCCCTGATAGATGTTAACAGACCGTCTAAATGTTTCTGGACCTCTGCATCTGGTTATCTATACAGTCAATAAATGCTAGTACACTGTCCAGCCATAGCACAGATGGATAAATGAAACATTTCACTCACCCAAAGGAGAGGCAGAGGTCAACATAGGCCTCCATCAGCAGGTGGAGGCAGAGCTGCAACACCTGCAAGCTAGAAACCACAGAGGACTGAAGGATCGACCAGACCTGCAGGGAGACAGAAAACCTGCTAAACCGTTTATTGTTCCTGCATAATCTCAGTAGTTCTAATCCTCACATGATGCATCAATTATTGTATTTCCTGCTCGCTCTCACTCGCATAAAAAAAAAAAAACTCCTCCTCCCGTAGTTTAAAATCCAGGATCATTGATCAGACTCGCGCGCATCAGTGAACAACTATCGCTATCAGAGAGACTCCTGAACTTCTGGGAGACTTTGATGTCTGCCTTAGTAGACCCAGACCTGGACCAGTTACTGGGAACCAGTCTGGTTCCTGCACAGCGCCTCGCTGGAACCAGTTTGCTCAGAGAAAAAAGCTGATTTATTTCTGCTCTGGTTCGGTTCGGTTCGGTCTGATTAACCCAGCCTAAACTCACCTGGTGTTGTTCAGCAGAGCTGCGGTACCCGACCTGACCGCTAGAGGTCAGTGTTTCCTCAGGAAGGGACTGCTGGTTCCTTCCAGAACCAGAACCTGCATGAAGGCTGCAGCCTGATCCTGAGTCAGAGGGTCTGGATCGGGAAATTATACACCTCAGCATGAAGCAGCTTATTAAAGGAAATAACAGGCAGGGATTGCTGCGGAGCCATGGAAAGTACTGCAGGTTAGATCTATAACATGTAGAATGATAGAGACATTCATCCTCCATGTGTTCCACTGCGACCTGCTCAGCATAAAGAAACACACTGATGGACAATTAGAGATAAAGCCACAGATAATCTGTCCTGTTCCTCCATCACAGGCTGAAGGGCGGGAAAACTGAAAAAGAGAAAGTTAGGAAAAAAGAGGAGGAAAGTTTATTTAAAAAAATATATAGATACACATTTATACAGACTTCTAAAGTGTTGTAATTCAGTGGCAGCTGGTGAAAAATATTTTTGGTGGGGCTGATATAGCCTAGTGTATGTCTCCAACTAATCCAGAATAAGAATTCAAATAAACAATTGGACAATACATACAATTTAACAGTAATGATTTAATTTACGATATAATAACAGTAACAGTGATGATTTGGGTCACTGTGACGGGGTTCTTTGGCCTTCAAGAATCCAGTCTCAGTCGGGTTACCGGTGTTGGTGATTTATTGTGCTCAAAAACTCAAAACAGGGTGCAAAAGAAACTAAACATTTACAAGATCCTCTGGGCCTCAGCCTCCCTCCAGTTACCAGCAATGGAACAAAGAAATAGAAAACAAAAATGGCCGCTCTTCTTCCCACAGCCCTCATTAAATAGTTTAATTGTTGGGATCTGGAGATCTGCCTCCTTTCTCCAGCAGAGAGCGCCCTGGGTCTCCTGAGATGAAGCCACCTACACACCTGAGGCTGATTCACCTGATTAGGAGACCAACTATTTAAGCAGCGGCCAGACCTCTCTTCAGTGTTGGAGTGTTGCATCTAACAGCACTTCTGTTTTTTCTGGATCTCTAGAGCCCAGTACCAGACCAAGGATTAAGAATCAATCGTCTTCTGCTCCTGTTCATTCCACTCACTTTGTCTCCTCGTCCACTGAAGGAACTGAGGTCGAACCCATGCAGATTGGGCATACAAGGCTTTCCAATGAAGAAAGACAACGAAGATTCAAAGGAAACTTGTGTCTGTATTGTGGTGAGCCTGGCCACTTTATTGCTACATGCCCGGCTAAATCAAAACCCGGGGTCCGTCAGAGGATGTGAGGAGTCTGACGGACCATCTAAGATCTGAAAAAACTCCTCACCTACTGTTACCTGCGACTTTGTTCTGTTCTGATCAGATTCTCACTTTGTCAGCTTTCATAGACTCTGGGTGTGAGAGAAACCTCAATGACTCAAGCCTGGTTCAACAGTTGAAGATTGAGACTATTCCTCTGAAAAAACCTCTTAGTTTCAGCTATTGATGGGAAGAAGCTGCATCAAATCACTCATCAGACACGACCATTAGAGCTCCTTATCTCTGGAAACCACCGTGAGACTCTAACATTTTTTGTTTTTCCCTCTGCATGTTCTTCTCTGGTGCTTGGATTCGAGTGGTTGGAACTTCCTGTTAGAGTGATAACTATCCTGTGTTTCAACCAGAAGGGTCATAAACTTTAATGACCTCCTGTAGGTCATGAGGCAGAATCACACGGCTGTGTGACTTCCATCCAGCCAGTTGGTCAATTCACACTATCTTGTTACCTGCATCCTCCCAGACAATGATTACTGGCTCTTCTGTTTTAGGCCCGCCTGTTTGATGTTGTAAACTGTTAATAAAAGGCTTTGCCATGAAGGGATCTGTGGGAGAAGGTGATGGCTTTCCAAGCCAGCATCTTCTCTCCACCCGGCACACGCTGACGTCACAAAATCCCGTCTCTGTGTTGATCATTTTCCTTTTAATCTTTTAAACTCACATTTCTCTGGATTAAAAACCCAACATTTTTGGTGCTGAAACTCCGGGAGTCAAGATCCAATTGTCCAGGACCGTGCGGGACCAAGGCCAAGAAACTGACGACAGCCGTCCACCCTTTGCCGGACGGAGCCAATAGGTTGGTCCAGCCCTGCCCTGGACATCCTGGTGACGACTCAAGCTGAGGACTGATCTGCACAGAAACGGTACGCCTAAGGTTTTTTATTAAAAGCTGGTCTGGGACCATGTGAAAGCTATAACTAGTTGTAGTCGCTAGAATATTTGACAAACAGGGTTTGTTGTGAGAGATCTGGGATCGGTATTCTATGCGTTTGGGTCTGGGACCCTTTGTGTTCAAGCTATAACTGGTTGTAGTTGCAAGAATATTTGACGAAACCAAATTTTGTTTACAGGTCTGGGACCTGGGTATTCTGTGCATTCGAGTCTGGGACTCTATGTTGGTTAAAAAATAAAAAATATTAGGCCTTAGGTGTGTGTGACTGTGTGAAAGTGTGTGAGGAAACAATCAAACCGCTGTGTTCTGGACTAAATTCTTTAAAAATGGGACAAGGCAGTAGTAAGAAGGAAATGCCAGGTGATGTTAGATGGATGGTGGCGTGTTGTGGTGGTGACCCAGAGTTTGCCAGAAAGTGGATTGAGAAGGAGGACTGGGATGGAAAGTTGAGAGTTGAGCCGCTGACAAAGATTCAGCAGAAGGTGGAGATGAAGTTGGTGTATAAATCAAAAAGAAAACAAGCTAAATACAGAAAGGAATTAGAAGAGTTAAATAAGTGGATTATGCAAGCAAAAAATAGGGAAAGCCAAATACAACAGAAGAAGGATAGAAAGACAGCTACAATTGCTGCTGTAAAAGTTAAAGCTGATGAAGAAACTGTTGTATCCCGTATGCTTCCTCAATATCCTGACCCTAATCAAATTCAAGGGGGTGATGGGGTTCAAGCAGTGGCATCAGCTGCGCAGGAAGGTGGAGATAAACCCCATCACGGTGAATATGAACACAGCCATGCCACTGTTCCTCCTCCAGTAGCCCCACCATCGTGTGGTGATATTGGAGGAGCAGGAGCAGGCCCCCTGTCCGTGTCGTCCTCTGTGGATGGTATGGAACTCAGTGCCTCTGACTCTTGTGAGCATGAATTAAGAAAATCAGGGGGGGATGTGAAGCTTGATTCGAAGTGTTACAGGGATGATTATCAAGTGGAGGCTTGTGGAAGGGGCCCATCTGCCCCTATTTATCCAAGATTGGCTGAATTAAAAAAACAAGAACAGGACCAAGATCCTGGGAGGGGGGCATGTGCTTTTCCGGTGTTGGAGGTGGCCAACCCTCATTGTGGTCAACGCACGGGACCCCAAGATGGTGACCCACTGGATTGTGGACCCACTGTTCTTGTGTGTGGGCCATGGACAGATGCAGAGATGCGGACTGCCTGTCGAGGTTTACCTCCAGCCAGACAGAACCCAGTTAAATGGTTCGAGGATGTTAAAAATAGATTGAGAAAATTCATGGCAGAAACAGGAAAGCCATGGGCAGAAAACGAACAAGATGACATTGACCCGCTAACTAAGTGGATGCTGAAGCTTTTCAGCGACAAAACTGTTCGGAAAACATGTAATATGCCTAGTGCTCCTTTTGTTTCCCCACAGGAAGGCCTGAAGCCTGGAGACCGAGTGCTGATTAAAATCATCAAAAAGGAAAACTTGGAAAGCTCCGAGGTGGGAAGGACCCTACATAGTGCAACTAACAACCCCCACTGCCGTGAAAATCCAGGAGAGAGACACTTGGATCCACCAGAGTCATTGTAAACTGATTAAAAACTTTCCACAGCAAGAAGCCCAATTACCTTCACAGGAACCCCATAACTAAGAGCTGATGAAGATGGAAAAACTAATGACATTCATCTGCCTGGTGGTGACCGTTGGAGTGGTGTCTCTAGGGACTCAAACTGACCGTCTGAAACAAAGGAAGAGCAGGATGATTTTTGATGGATCCACAGAAAGTCATCCATCCGGTGCAGTTCCAGCACCATGGACAGTTTGGTTCACCATGGGATCATGGTGGCAGGTACTGATGAAGATAGCTTTACCATTTATAGGATTGTTAATCATATTTTTCCTTTTTATTTGTTGCTTAATACCATGCCTGCAATCAATGTTTCAGAAAATGATAGGAACCACTCTAATCCAATATTCAGCTATCAATTATGCTCAACTCCGCCGAGATGCTGATGAAGATAATGATGATGATGAAGTTATGTAATCTTTTACAGGGATAATGGTCGCCTCCTCGGGAGGGGCTGGGTAGGAATTTTTTCTCTATTGGAGAGTTTTTGCCTACTCAAGGGACAGATTATTTTTAAAGTTTTTACATTCTTTTTTACCTTTGTGCTTGAATTTTCCTTTTAATATTGTTGTGTTTTGCATATTAAACTTTGATTACTGAATTCCCTATCTGCAATGCATTCATGATGTATGTAGTGAAAATCTTTTTAGAAGTGCTATATGCTGATGTTTTTATGTATAAGAGGAGGGAAATGTTAGAGTGATAACTATCCTGTGTTTCAACCAGAAGGGTCATAAACTTTAATGACCTCCTGTAGGTCATGAGGCAGAATCACACGGATGTGTGACTTCCATCCAGCCAGTTGGTTAATTCACACTATCTTGTTACCTGCATCCTCCCAGACAATGATTACTGGCTCTTCTGTTTTAGGCCCGCCTGTTTGATGTTGTAAACTGTTAATAAAAGGCTTTGCCATGAAGGGATCTGTGGGAGAAGGTGATGGCTTTCCAAGCCAGCATTCTTCTCTCCACCCGGCATACGCTGACGTCACAAAATCCCGTCTCTGTGTTGATTATTTTCCTTTTAATCTTTTAAACTCACATTTCTCTGGATTAAAAACCCAACACTTCCCAATCCCCACATCAACTGGGCTGAACGCCACATTGAGTCTTGGTCCGCTTCCTGTCACGTCTCATGTCTCCGTTCTGCGGCTCCTGCTATTCAGTCCCCTAGAGGTAGGGGGGAGATGGACTCTCCTGACCTTTCTTCCGTTCCTTCCGAATATCACGATCTGGCACCAGTCTTCAGCAAGGTCAGTGCAACGTCTCTTCCACCTCACAGACCATATGACTGCACCATTGATTTATTACCAGGAGCCCCCCTGCCCAGCAGTAGACTGTTTAACATCTCCAAACCTGAGCGAGAAACCATGTAGAGATACATCAACGAGTCTCTAGCTGCTGGTATTATTCGACCATCTTCATCTCCTCTTGGTGCTGGTTTCTTTTTTGTGGGAAAAAAGGACGGTTCTCTCCGACCCTGTATTGACTACAGGGAATTGAATCAGATAACTGTCAA